GAGAAGGACCCCACCCCCACCGCACCGCACCTCTCCTCCTGTCTGTACCCCGCTCAGGCTCCTGCTTAAGTCCTTTTTCTCCCCTTCTCCATTTCCCGTTTCGTGCCCCCTCCGCCTCTTTTCCCTCTTCCTCCAGCTCCTTCTCTCTCTCTCGCTCTCTCTCGTGTCTACTGCAGCAGAAACGCCAGCACAGACACCAGCTTGTGTGTATATATGCTTCTACATGTGTGCACTACTACGGTGAATTTTGCGCGTGAGCCTCACGCCATCATGAGCGGTGAAGGTGAAATTAGGAAGGAGGGAGTAAAACGGAGAAAAGAAGCTAAACCCAAGCGTGGATCGCTCCGATCAGAACATTGATTACTGCTGCATTACATCACAGCCATGCAAACAACCCCCCCAAACCCCCACATAGAAATCATTTGCGTAAAGCCGCCCCACCAGCGCCACCCCCATCTTTCTTTATGTTTGCTCTTAGCTCCTTCTTCCTCTCATCTGCCTTTGGTGCATTTCCACATCGGGATTTCATTTTTTTTCCCGTTTTTTTCTGTCTGAATCACCTTGGGTTTTTTTTCCTTTACATTCAGTTTCCATCGTAGAGCGAATAAAAAAGGTTGCACCTCTTCACATAGCGTGACGGAGGAGCAGGGAGGACGAAGCCTGATTGGGGTCACTTCGCTGTGTGACATACATGGAAGGACGCAGAGAAACGGGGCTAAATTCACCCAGAAACAGAACCAGTTCAGTCCAAGTCAGTTCCACCTACTACCTGCTCTGCACTCCCCATAAACCCACAGCGCTGCCACAACGCCATGTTGCGCTGCCACAACGCCATGTTTCGCTTCCACAACGCCATGTTTCGCTGCCACAACGCCGCGTCCCGCTGCCACAACGCCGCGTCCCGCTGCCACGGCGCCTCGTCCCGCTGCCACAACGCCTCGTCCCGCTGTCACAATCCACTGTAGACACTGGAGTAAAAACGCACCAATCCGACTTTTCTTGACTGAAACTGATTTCTGGTTCTTGAGGTTTTTTTAGTTTTTTATTCCAAGGACACGTTCATCCGAATTTAACTAAAATGAGTGCCATGCATAGTTCCAAAATAGTTGGAATGTTCTGGTTTTTATGCATTTAATAAATGAGGAAACTTTCTTTCAGTATTTGACCTGCTGATTGTTGATAAAAACAAAAAACAACTAACTGAGAATTGGCAGATTCCTGTCTTTGAATGACTAATTATTATCATCATAAGTGATGATATTAGATCATATGTGACAAACTGAAGGCCCGTGGGCCATATCCGGCCCGCCACAACTCTTTATGTGGCCCTCTGGATCCTACACTAAACACTAACTGTGATTAAATATCATGTTATCTATCAAATCAATGCAGTTTTTATCTGTTTACTGCCAAATCACATCAATCAGTCCCTCCAGTTTCTTGCAAATTATCGTGGAAATTCACACAAAATCAACAAATGCCCACACTTTGTTGTGCTAATACATATTTGGGAGTTTATTGCAGATTTTTCTCAAAAATTTTCAAAAACTTTCTTACTTGTATTAACCGGCTGCCTCAGCTTTAACTGATGTCAGGTTATAGTCTATGATCGAAACAGGAATAAAAAGTCACATTTACCATCAAAAATAAGAGCAAATATCGCAAATATTTCCAAATATGTCACACAAAATATCACAAAATCCTGGAAGGACTGAAAAGATTAATATTATTATTTAACTTTAAGAATTGATTGATATTTTAACAGCTTGTGATCAGGTTTTATCAATACATTCTGGCACAACCGGCCCTTTAAGAGCTTTGGACCAAAACGAAAATGAGTTTGACACCGCTGACCTCGACGATGTCAGACTGGACCTGGACTCAGACAGGAAGTGGTTCTGTTTTACCGCTGATGGGACTGAGTTCTCACCACTTCTTTACGATGATAAAAAAAATAAAGTTACGAAAAGTAGTAATAACACAAGAATAAAGTTGCAGTATTACAACCTTATTCTCGTAATTTAAGACTTTGTTCTCATAATTTAATTTTTTTATCATAAAAGTCCTGGTGTGGGGTTGCTGGACGTGGTGAGGATTCAATCCCATCGGGTCAAACAGAACCACTTCCCGAGTCCAGGTCCCGTCTGACGGATTGGGCCGTCCAACCCAGACGATAACAGCTCAATACTTTCCATCATTTTGGCTGAGAACTGAAGTCATGTCTGTGTCTGAAAACGTGTAAATGGTCGGAGCCGCCAAGCGCAGATCCTTCTGCTAACTGGGATTACAGATCAGGCATGAGGGCCGTTACTGGTTTCCAGTTAAACCAAGGTTTTAAAAGGCTGACCTTTCAAAACATTTCCTTTGAATATGATGCAAGTTAACCAACAACTCTCAGCTGTGATTAAACTCTGTTAAAGTCTTAAGTCTGTTAAACAAAATAACATTTAAACGTTACAGAAAGCATCGCTACAGCTGCATTACTCAATATTTTAGTATTTTGACAACAGTAGAAGTATTTGTTTCAAGTTAAAGTGAATAGATCATGCGATGCACCTTTGTTTTAAACTAATACAGAGACAATAATGTTTTTCCTGATGGTGCAGTTATGCTGAATTAGGAGTTTCCTTATTTTCACCTCATTTTAAATCAATAAATGCAGAAACCCGGCTGGTTCTGCTGCACTGTCTTTACAGATTAGACTGAAGTAAAAGGAAAAAAATTGAATGCAACAAGAGGGTGACTCTAAATATAAAAACAGAAAGCAGCAGCTCTGATCAAACAGCTGGATTTGTCTGCAACAGAAAGCTCTCAGAATAAAAGAACCGGCACAGATCAAAACCAGTCAGGGAGACTTGTTACTTCTCCACCTGTATGTCTTAAAACAAGAGCATTTAAGAGGGATTTCATTAGCAGTTTCCCTGAAAGCAGGAAATATTTTCACAGTAAGCGAGGCATAATGGACAGAAGACCAGAGAAAAACAGAGAAAACCAGAAAAAAAACTTGAAAAATCAGAGAAAACCTTGCAGCACTCAGGAGAAAAGGTTAAAGCAGAAACCCAGCAGGGCATATTAAGGATAAAAGTAAAGGAATCCATGAACGTTTTTACCAACGATGCTAAAATAACTTCATGAATGTTTTGAAGGATGATGCATTAAACGCATATTTACAGCTCTGGAAAAAAATCAGAAAATGATTGCAAAGTCATCAGTTTCTCTGATTTTCCTGTTTATATTTATATGTTTGACTAAAATGAAAAATCTTCTTTTACTCTATGAACTAGTGACAACAAGTCTCCGAAATTCCAAGCAAAACTTGAGTATTTATCTGCAGGAAATGAGAAATGGTCAAAATGATGAAAAGCTACAGAGCTTTCAGAAATGATGCAAAGAAAATAAGTTCATATTCATTTAGAAACAACAACACTAATGTTTTAACTCAGAAATCAATATTTGGTGGAAAGACCTCGAGGTTTTCAGTGGGCTTCACTGCAGTGAGCTTTTCATTTTTTCCAACGTTGTAAATGCATCAAACTGCTCAACAAAGGGGCTGGAACTAACCCACCAACTATTCCAACTAAAAATATTTCTGTTTATTTTCAACCACATTAGCAGTTATATCAATCGCCGATGTCAAATATCCCAAAGATGGACGAAGACCGGCTTCAGAAACATAAAAACTGACACACCAAAAGCCAAAATGTATCATTTATTTATGGTTTTTAAAGGTGCCAAGCATTGAAAACTGGACTTTAATCAACCAACGTATTTTTCCAATTTAGCCTGAACAACAAAAACCAACTAAACCGACGTCTCTGTGCGTGCAGACGTCTTTTTATCCACACAGGATTCAGGAGGCGTCCTGATGTACAAACACATTTCAAAAACCAACAGGAAGATGTCATCTGGTACTTTCTGGCTTTATCTTTACATTAATAGACAGCTATAGGTCAACTACATCCCCATTCACATTTAGGAATCACAACCACCTGCAAATGATTAAATACTCATCATCCTGTCTGAAGCCGTCAGCAGCCAAAACACCAAATATATCTGAATAAGCATTAATACACACGGTGGAAACCATCTTATGGTCTTCCCCACTTCAGCCAATCGGCAACAAGGAAAATGAAAACCGCTTTGCGTGTTCAGCACTAAAGTATTTCAACTTCCAAAGCTGAATTTTCTTGAATATTTCTGACACGCTCTACGAAAAACATGCGAATAACTGAATTGGCTAAAAGTGAACGGCGATGAGGTGAAGGTCCATGTCAGGGTTGTTGCTGTTTTCACATTTTAGTCACATTTAAACTTCAGTCCATACATATAAATATTTTTTATTTGCACGTTTAGACATCTTTATGTTAATGTTTTAGTTTTGAACCCCATTGAAGTCAACAGATGTCTTTATGCTGACATTGTCTTTTCAGGCACCTTTCACTTTTAACTTCATTTCTACATAATTATATTTATTCAGATATAATTTCAGCTGTTCAATCTACATATTATTGTAGTTATTTAAATATTTCATTCCGTTACGTTTCAAATACTTTCACTGCTTCCCTTCCAGCCACTTTTAGACATTAATTAACGTCATAAAAATCTTTGTGTTCTTTTTCAAACCGCATTTCTTCACTAAATACATATTTATAAGTTCGGCTTTGAGTCATACAAAACGTCTTTGGACGTCCTTCTGCGGTTTACTTGTTCGTAGGCGAATTGCTGGGAGGGAGACACTATAAGGCTGACAAACCATTTTCCATTTTTTCCTCAAGTTATCAGCATTAATTATTAAACATCAGTAAGTCAATACAGGCAACCGCCACTTAATCCTGCCAGAGATTACATGCAAGCAGTTAGTGACCTGTAGTTAATATCGACGGCTTGTTTTCGCACTAATTAGGCTTAATGGAAGATTTTTAAACAAAGTTTTCACGCGAATTCTTGAAAACATGCAACAACCGTCCAGAGGAGCAAGTCGGGAGACCTGAGGAACTCACCCGGGCGTATTTGGAGGAGTACGGGTCCTCGAACAGAGCCCATATTCTGGGCTGCCAGGTCTTCCACCAGCCCGCTCTCCGCGCGTCCTCCTGCAGACACAGTCTCCTCAGGTCCCCGTCCGCGCCGCCCAGAGCCGGGTCGTCGTCCGGCGCCTCCGGCTCCGGGGTCTCGAAGCTGTCCAGCGCCTCCTCCGCGTCCCGGTGCTGCCGGTAGTTCATCCAGCAGCACGCCTCCACGTCCGTCTCGTCGATGCCCCAGAAGGCCAGCTCCTCCTCGAACAGCGGACCGCACACATCGTTGGGACAGTGCAACTTCCCGGTGCGGTAGTAGTTGAGGATGAAGGAGAAGACCGACGGGTGGCGGTCGAAGAAGAACTCGTCCAATTTGGGGTCGTAGTCGAAGTTGCTGAAGGCGTCCGGCTCGGTGAGCCACGACAGGCGGGTCCCGGGCAGCGTCTTCAGGGTGCTCCGGTACGTCTCATGCCGCACCCCCCCGCAGTTTATCACGATTTTCTCGCTTTCCGACGGACAAGTCATGTCTGCGCTGTAACATGCTTTGTTGGACGACTTGTTCCCACCCTTGCGCCCTTTGAAAGAGGATACACACACCGAACTGAGCATAGAGCACCAGGGGGGGGGGGAGGAGGGAGAGGATGCGAGAAACCGAAGGGAGGAGGAGGAGGAGGAGGGAGGAGTCTGAGGAGTCTGCGGGGAGAGAAAAAGGGCAGAAAAAATGTTTTTTAGCGACAAAAGGGGGAGAAATATATAGATCTGGATTATCAACATTATTGGAATTACACAGTAACACCAGCAGGTTTCACATGAATTCACATGATGATGAGCTGGAGGAAGCAAAGGATGGGGCTTGGAGGGGAGGAGGGGGAGGAGGAGGTGCAGAGGGGCGCAAAGTAGTTTGCAGCACCGAGCATCGTGGAAAAGGGAGAAACCAGGAAAACAGGTGGCGTGAGTCAGAATCCGCATGGCTGCTTGTTGACACCACAGAGATGATGAGATCTGATTCCCTCCAACTGTCAGGACAGTCCTCCACATTCAGCATCTCAATTCTGACCGCAGCTAAAGCGGGAGACAGTGTTCCTACTGGGCCACCGTAGACAAGAGCTTCAATATTAAAAAAAAAAAATCCAGAGAAAAAGAGAACTGGGGATCTGTTTCCCACCTTCCTCCAGAATACCTCTGTGACGTGTTGGTGCAGAGCTGTGCGTGTGCGTGTGCGTGTGTGTGTGTGTGTGTGTGTGTGTGTGTGTGTGTGTGTGTGTGTGTGTGTGTGTGTGTGTTAATTGCCTCCCAAGAGTGTGGTGTCCGTACTAATGTTAGATCTCCTCAATCAGCCTGTGCTGCTCTACACAAACTGCTGCAGCCCCCTCCGACCGCACCGAGATCCAGGCGATGCACAATTATTCCACTTTTCCCATGCACTGCACTGCACTGAGCCGCGTGTGTGTGTGTGTGTGTGTGTGTGTGTGTGTGAGAGAGAGGGGGGGAGGCTTAAAGAGGAAGAGAGGGAGGTGAGAAAAGAAAAAGAGGAGAGAGGATGAGGCTGAAAATCAGATTGTTGATGGGAAAGAGCTGGGAGAAAAGAGAAAGTGAATGCAGCAGATTGAGAGAGGGCAGCTCGTGTAACGCTGCCTCTTGTGTAGTAATGGAGGAGAAAAAGAGGAGGGGTGAGGAGGAGGAGGAGGAGGAAGAGCATTAAAAGCAGAGTGCACTATAAAAGTGAATGAATTCTGCTGCAGTAAAAAGCAGGAGTTATTTTCTCTCCTCCTCTCTCCCCTCCTCTCTCCTTCTCTCTCCCTCTTTCCCCCCCCTCTCCCTCTCTCTCTCCCCTCCTCTCTCTCTCCCCCCCCCCTC